GGGGTGGATTGTGCAGCACCATGACCACACAGTAGAGATTTGGGACTTCATCCTGGAGCAGTGGGAAGCCATTAAGGGTTTTAAGCAGAGGAGAAGCAGGAGCTGATTACTCTGATTGCAGGAGAACCCTGGGCTGGGATGGATACAAGAAGACCAGTTAGGAGGCTGCCATGGTTGTCCAGTTGAGAGATGATGGTGGCTCCATGTTGGCTGGGGAGGTGAAGAAAAGTGGGTCAGTGAGATCTGGGGATTGATTGCATCTGAAGGGTGCAGGAAAGGGAGGAGCCCCATGACTTCCAAGTTTCCTCTGCCATCCTTGACCTCAAGGTAAAAATTAGCTAATCTAAAATCTTCTTTGCTAAGGGGAAGTTAAAGAATAATTTAGTTCCTTCCCAGCTGTCCCACTTCTGCCCAGTGACATTCATTCATTGAGACAGTGCTCTAGGCTGGCTGAGAAGGGAGGCGCCAAGTCAAATCAACGGATGGCCACTAAGCCCCGGCTGTGTGAATGCATGGTATTATACAGGCTCCACGAGGAAGACCAAGACTCGTGTCCCTGTCCCTCACAGAGCTTACAGCCTAGGTAGGAGAGATGAGTTAGGAGCACCTGACAACCCTGTCTGTGTGACGTGGGCATGGGTCATTTGTCCATTCAAGTATTTGTTGTATTTGTTGAACAACTGCACTGTGCCAAGCACTGTGCCAGGTAGTGGGATGCAGCAGATAGCAAGGCACCCGGGTTCCCTAACTGCCATGGCAGTTTCTCTGGTGTCTGCAGCCGGGGGCTGGCTCTCAGATGTCGTTGTACTCTGAGCCCTTTTCTGGTATGGGAATTCCTATTGCTGGGGAGAGGGGAAGCACAGAGACTTGGAGAGAGTTTTGTTTCCATCCCACTCATCTTCCCAGGACCTCGTTTCTGATGGAAGAAGGTATTTTTAGGATGTTAGGAACATCCCTGTTGGGAGGCAGAGCATATGGGCTTTTGTCATCCTTCATTCAGCAAATGAACGCTTATGGAGACAAACTACACATGCCGGACACTGCAATAGGCTCTGAGTCAGACCAACTCGTGCGCTAACGGGGCAGACGGACGTGTGATCAAGTGTTCCCAATATCATGGGATAAAGGCGTGCATGCTAGAGTGAGCTGTGTCCCCATGCAGTGAAGCACAGCCAACTTGGAGAAGGCGTCCCCAGGGGTGTGGCACGTCGCTGGGGCTGTGAGCCATAAGTGGGGGTCACCAGGTGGGGAAGGCGGAAGGCTGTACCGGGGGTAAAGTAACGGGAGCTCTGAACCCAATGCTTCTTGCCTTTCAGCAAAATCCTCCCGGCTAAAAGAAGTGCTGTTTTTCAAAAGCAAACAGAATCATCCAAAAACATCTGTATTCGTTTCAAAAGGAAGTGACCACTGCCAGAAAAACAGCAAAGTTGTTTTGTCAGAACCCAGTCTGTATTCATTCTTTTGTCCTTGTTTAATTAGATTAATCCCTCAATGGTTTCCCCTGGGTCGGTACAAATCACTTGTGGCCATAAATCCCCGACATTCTAAAAACAGCACGAAAGGACAGCCCACATGAAGCCAGCTGGCAAGCTCGCTGTTTGTGGGACAGTTCTTCTGGAACGTGAGCAGCAATCCCGCTAGGTCCTACCTCGCTTTGCACTCTCGTGGAGGTGTCTGGGGTTCCTCTAGCCACTCGGAGAGGGGAGCAAGGGGAGTAGTCACTTGAGATTAATTAAAAGAGGAAATTGCGCCTTGAGGTCTCGGTTAATAAAGGGGGAGACTGGCTCCTGGGTCTGGGCACCTTCCTCCCGGAGGAGTGTGGGGACTGGCTGTACACCGGGGGCCGCTGTGGAGTTTTAACAAACACCGCTGCCCGAATCCCACCTCAGCCTGTCTGATTTGATCAGGGGGAGGAGAGTACCTTGGCATCAAGATTTTCAAAAGATGCCCAGGTGGTTCTAATGGGAAGCTGAGGTTGGGCACTGTCACTTCTGTAGACGGGTGTCCCGGCCTATCCTGAAAGGAATAAGCATTTCATTGTCTCTATCTACCCTGGAGGCGGAAGTCTTTTGAAAAAAAATATTGTTCCTTCTAGGTCCTGGTTCATTGCTTTTGAAATGCTACCTTCAAAAGAGGTTTTTTTTTTTTTTTAAATATGTTGATTTCCTCCCCATTATTATAAAAGCTCTTGTTGGAAAATTTGAAATCAGACAATTATAAATAGGAGAATAAAATCTCCTGTACTCCCACCACTCCTCGGTAACCATGGTTAGGCAGGGTTCCTGCTGGACCCCTGATGGGGGTGAAGTAGCTTCTTCAGCAGAGATTGGGAGGACCCGGGCGGAGAAGCTCTTGCCTCCCCTGGGGGGCAGCTGGGTCCAGCATGCTGGAGCGTCACTTCCCAGCCATTAGGACTTTGTGCAGGCATGCTGCCCACCCACTGAGGGAGCTTGGCGCCTAGTAAGGGAGACACAGTAAATGTATCGCTGCATAAACGCTGACAGCCGGTGGATGAGGACACAAGCTCGAAGAACACTGAAGGCCCTCAAAGCAAGAGGTTAATTTTCCCATCACCGTGCAGGTAAACCCAGGCTCCTTCAGCCTGAAATTCAGAAAGCTACTGCTATTCCCAAACAAAGCAGTGATTTTCATTTAACTGTGCTAGAAGTCCTTAAAGTTTCTCAGAGCGGAGAGACTCTGTGGCGCTGCCAGATTTATGTCACTACTCGAGTGAAATTGCAAGTCTCCCTTTTTAAGATTTTTCCCTTAGTGGTCCCCATTGCTTCAGAATGCAGTTCAGACTGCTCAGCCTGCCTGCAGAGGGCGCTTTACTGTCTGGGGTCAATGGTCTTCCCCACACTCCTGCTGCTTCCCTTGGAATTTCCAGAGTGGGACTCAGCTGCCATGCCTGTCCTGCCTTCCACACGTTTACTCACACTTCCTTTCTCCATACCTGTGAGCCTCTCCCAAGCCCTGCTTGACTGGCAGTAATCCATCCCGATGCTGGACTCCCATAGTTTCGTCAGCATCTTTTAGCTGTTTCGATCATGTTCTACCTCATATTTTAGTTATTTATGTGGCATTTAATAGCCATTCTGTCCTTTCAGTTCCTCAAATGGGGCAAGTTTGTTCTACCACAGGACCTTTGCATTTGCTCTTCTTTTAGCCAGAAATACTCTTCCTAGACCTTCATGTTACTAACTCCTGAGAGAATATGAGCTGCATGACAACAGGAACCCCTCGTCTGTTCTGTTCACTGCTATGTCCCCAATGCCTGGGACATAGTAAGTGTTCAACATGTGTTTATAGAGTAAATGAATGAATATCCATTCTATGATTCAGATTGTGTCTCTGGCCTAGGCTTACAACTAACTGTAGGTTTTGTCATTCCTTCATTATTCACTATGATTTTTGCATCAGCGGAAGGGTTTTTCTGGTTATTGGTGTTTTCCTTACATCTAAATCCATGGGAAATCTACATTGAAAGTCCCATTCCAGGTTCCCAGCTAGAAATCTAAGATGTAAACATACTGGTAAGAGGTAAAGGAGTTTGTGTCTTTAATTTTATTCATCTACTTTATTGATTTGGGAGTGAAAATACTTCTTTTAGGATTTTAAAACCAGAATCCTTATTTGTGGAATCTTAGGCCTAAGCATTTTTCAATGTGATGATGTAGATTTTATTTTTAAAAATTGTTTAATACATTTAATAGAGATGCTGGATCAAATCAACTTTTATTTTTTATCAATTTGATATTTTAAATTTATCTAAAAGCACAATAAACTATGAAATGCAAAGATCTAGGAGATATTAAGGTGTAGCCACTGGATTCTGGGACTAATCAAGCTTTCTAGGTAATTGAGTTTTTATCATAGCTGTCATAGTGATAGCTTTTAACCAGAGAAAATTCTCTTTAATGTATTCAGTCCCATTAATCATCTCTGGTTTTCTCCAATTTTAATTGTAAAATCACTGGTAGAGCTAGCTGTTTCATAACATCCAAGCTGTTCTCCTTGCTGGGAAATAGTGTCATAGACTGAGTCGGTGATGGATTGAAGATGCCTTTAACCTTTTCATTCTCTGATATATTCTTAGTTCTATGCAGCAGATGCATTCTGTAAGTGCATTCCTACATTGCCTGTGAATAAATAGCCACAGCCCAGCACTTTGTGGACACGTAATAAACATTTGACCAAAATAAGACCACACGTGGCCATACATCCATTGCTTCCTGGTAATCTTCGTTACCTCTACCTAACCTCTTTGGGCTTTTCCATTCTCCTCATTTGTTACTGGGATGAATAAATAGAGCACAAAGAGGATTTTCAAAGATCCTTCTGGTAGGCAAATGGAATGAAGAAAGTATGTCCAAAGGGAACGGTGCCGACTTGGGAATTCAGGGCTATTCTTAGACTTGCTGTGCTTCGGTAGAGTCGCAGGTCCTTTCGCTGGATCCTACTTCGGCTGTCCCATCTGCAAAATGTCAAAGTGCTGAATCATCTCGGTGTAAATCACTGAGACTGTGGTTACAAAGCACTTTAAGTTCCCAAAGGATGGGAGTTTGATGCCAACAAGTGCAAATGCTGCTCATGAAAACTGACAGCTCTCAGGGGCCATTTTCAGAGCACTTTTCATTGACGTGGGGAAATACAAATTGATATTAATTAAACATTATTCAATGTATTTCATAGAGGCAATGAATAATTCCAACTTTGAAAAATATGTTTTTATATATATACAGAAACTCCCCTGGAAAGAAAAACTCACCAAAATGTTAACAGTTGCCTCTGGGTGGTAGGATTACAGGTGGGGGATTATAGGTGGATTTTCTTTTATCTATTTTTCTGTGTTTTCCAAACTTTCTACTATGATCACACATTAATCCTTATGATGCTTTTAAAAGTATTTTGGCAAATGCTACGAAGTGCTCACTGTATGGCCCCGTGCTGAGTGTGCACCTCCCCTGGTGTTGTGTCCTAATGGTGCGACTTTGTCTCAGTCCAGGACCTGTGTGCCATGGAGGACCACGGCTGTGAGCAACTCTGTGTGAACGTGCCGGGCTCCTTCGTCTGCCAGTGCTACAGTGGCTACTCCCTGGCCGAGAATGGGAAGAGGTGTGTGGGTGAGTATCCCCCAGCCTTGCTTAGTGGGGAAGCCAAGTTCAGCACAGTGAGGAGGCAGAGGGAGGTTCAACATGTGCCGCCACAGATCCATTTACTCTGCTTTGGGTTTCAACAAAGTGCTCAGTTCTTTGGTGTAGTTGTTAGGCAGAATTTGAACTTTAAAGATTTCATTTATGGCTGAGGTCAGCGTTTTTTCATTGTGGGTCCTCAGCAAAAGGCATACTTATGATAATCTGTGTAAGTGTCATTGTCTGTTACTGCATCGTTGAGAAGGACTGGGTGGATTTTCTTCGTGTCTGGGATGGCCGGACTTAAATATAGCTTGGGTGTTTTACGTGAAATTCACTTGGTGGTGGGCGGGGTTCATGAGTGGCGCCTCAAAGACATAGGCACCCTTCCTCCATAGTATTGGACCTGCAGCTCAGCAAGACGCCCAAGTGACTGCCCCGCTGGATATAGTAAGACCAGAGAAAATAAACACAAGCCCAGGTAGCTCTCAAGGACAGTGCTTGGAACTGCAGGCACTGACTTGGGGTCAGGTGAGCACTTCCCTCCTGGGAGACTCCACATCGAGTGACCAGGTGAGAGGTAGGAGAGGTGGGTGGCCTCTGATTTCTTCAGTGATGGATAATAGTTCTCCTCAGCACCTGCAGAGCAGCCCAGCAAATCCTAATATGCGTGTGGCACCTCCCTGCTGATCTACAAAGCCCTTTAAACTTGCATGGTGTCATTCATCCTTACACTAACAAACAGTGCCTGGTAAAATAGTAGGTGTTTAATAAACCGAACTGCATACTTATGAGGCAGAAAATCTGGAGGGAAAAGGACTTGACTGACATCAGAACTGGAATCTAGATTTTCTGACTAAATGCTGCATTTTCTGTTCCATATTCCATTGTTTGCAGGGGCCCTGTTATGTCTTGCTTTCCACAAACAACAAATGCTTATTTTTTTGCACATAGAATTTACATTTTTCAGCACATCTTGATCCTTAGCTAAGGATGTAGAAGGAAAAAAACAACAAAACAAAAACTGTGAGTGGTAGCCTATTATTTGCAGGTGAGTGATGGGAGTATTATGGGTTTGTTTTTCCACACTAATGAGGAGGAAGGCCACCCTCATCAGAGGGCCACAAATTCAGTGAATCTCCTGAGCCTTAGGGTTGTTTTTTTTTCTTAATCTGCTGGTGGTGACCATGCTAGAGTGGCAGGGTACCACCTCCACCAACACTAGCAAAAAAGAAATCAACATGTAAACACCAATGATTATTTTTGCTTCATTAATTTTTATTGTGCAAGTAATATACTTTCACTGAGAAATCTTAAGCAGATGTGAAAAATCGCTATTAATAGTGATAGTTGTAGGCTGGGTGAGGTGGCTCATACCTGTAATTCCGGTGCTTTGTGAGGCTGAGGCAAGAGGATCACTTGAGGTCAGGAATTCGAGACCAGCCTGGGCAACATAGTGAGACTCCATCTCTACAAAAAAAAAAAAAAAAAATTAGCTGGATGTAGTGGCAGGTACCTGTCGTCCACCTACTCGGGAGGCTGAGGTAGGAGGATCGCTTGAGCCCAGAAGTTCGAGGCTATAGTGAACTATGATCGCACCACTGCTCTCCAGCCTGGGCGACACAGTGAGATCCCATCTCAAAAAAAAAAAAAAAATCCTCCCACCTCGGCCTCCCAAAGTGCTGGGATTACAGACATGAGCCACCTTGCTCGGCCCAGGTCAATATTAATGTCATGCTCTAGCAAGGTCAAAGGAAACAGAGAAAAAGCCAGAAAGCTGAGTCCCCGATTCACCTCAGCAAGCATTTCAGAACTCTCTGCCAGGCGCTCTGTGAGGTGTGAAGGACGCCAAGATGACCACGAGGGTTTGTAGTGGTAAAAAGGGTGGGGTGTAGGTGACGAGAAAGTGTGGATAGCAGGTCTAAACTATTTATTTAAAGAAATCTGGCAGAAGTTAACCATGTCCAGCTACTGGTGAATCAATGCAGTGACTAGCTTTGGGTTTCAGCCACCCTAGCAGTGGTTCTAGTACTTTGACACATCCCTGCATTATGACTGTGACCTGCCTATACAACATTTCCACGCATTTGAGTAAGTGGAACTTTAACTTGGAGTGCCAGAGTTCCATCTCCCTGACTGCTTGTTTCACTGTTGACTCCTGAGTTTATTTTCACACTCAAGTGAGCAAAGGTGGATTGCTGCCTGGGAGTCTCCTTTTGCTTTTGTGGAGTCCCTGAATCTGTAATCCATCAGCTGCCACCATGGTTCTCTTAACTGCCATCCCAGACTGTATATTTTTGAAAGCCCACTTGTCTAGATCTTTGAGGGTGAATTTTCTGCTGCACTTGCCCACCCGGTATTTACTGACTGCTTTGCATTTTGGGGTAACTTTGGTCCTCTTTGCATCCTATCTGCCCAAGCAGATTGCAAACTCTCGAGGGTAGAGACCACTTGTACTCTTCATCTTTCACAGAACGGACTCATGATACATTTTTCTTTTTTTCTCGAATCATTGACTGAGGTTGAGTGACTGATAACAATCTCAATATTCGTGTTTGTTAAAAAATTTTACCCCCTTGACTGGTTTTTAAATTACAAAATCAATTTTTGCTTATTTAAAAAAAAAGCCAGAGTACAGATGTGTATAAAGTCAAAATCTGAAGGTTGCTTCTCCCCAGTTTCACTTCCTGGAGGTAATCACTGCTAACAGCCTGGCATATCCTTCCTGCCTTTCTTCTAAGACGTCTTACATGTGGTATTTACTTGTCATTACCACCCAGGGGTTGGCACACTGCCCGACAGAGTAATTACCGAATAAATGCTTGCAAAACAAATGAATGGCATGTAGGTACCTCTTAACTCCGAAATTCCACCTTACCTGGTTAGAGAGGCAGTGTGGCAAAAATATAAACTACCTTTATTGAATATTACTAAGTGCTAGGATCCCTTTGAGATATTTGATATATATTGCAACAACCTATGAGATAGATATTAGTGTTATCCACATGTTATAAGTCTCTCAACCACTTTATGTTTCAGTTACTTCATCTGTAAATTGAGGCTAATACCACCTACCTCAAAGGGTTCTTGCAAGGGTTGAATGAGTTAATGTGCATAAAGCACTCAGAGCAGTGCTGTGTAAGTGCTTGTTAATATTACCACTATTATTATAATGTCTACTAGATGGGCAACTGATAAACATTACTTGAATCTTAATTTATATATCCGTTATGAATTTTTGTCTTCTTAGGAATGCTTGAGTTTAATAATATAGGTATACCAAAAGCGTGGTACATTTAAAAAAGCACACCGAGGTCCATACAAACCCAGAATGACGGTATATTGCCTGGGATTTAGCATGGTGTTGCTGCTGCCTTAGGAACTCCTCGCCCACATTCTCCTATATCAATTCCCCTCAGAGAGGAAGGGGTAGTTGATATTTAAGTTGGGGACAAGGGATGGGAGGATGAATTTTATATTGAAAAGTAAGATTTTGAATTAATCGGCTAACTCCTCATGTTTGAGACATGATCCCCACCCCCCAAGATGGTAAGCATTGGATTTCTGCCTGTGCTGGTTTGCTAGGACTGCCACAACAAAACACCACAACTGGGGGGCTTAAATGAAAGACATGTACTTTCTCATTGTTCTGGCAGCTGGAGGTCCAAGATTAAGGTGTCAGCAGGTTTGCTTTCTTCTGGGGTTTCTGTCCTTGGTTTCCAGATGGCCACCTTTTCACTGTGTCCTCACATGGGGTTTCCTGTGTGTGTGTGTGTATGTGTGTGTGTGTGTGTGTGTTCACACACATCCCTGGTGCCTCTTTTGCATTCACATTTCCTCTTCTTATAAGGACACCAATCAGACTGGATTAGGGCCACCCTAGCAGCCTCTTCATCTCCTCTTTAAAGTCCCCATCTCCAAATACAGTCATGTTCTGAGGTTTTAGGGTTAGGGCTTCAACATACGAATTGGAGGGGTAGGGACACAATTTAGCCCATAACACTCTTCTGTTGTTATCAAAATCAGTAAGAAACTTCTTCTGAGTTTTTAAATCCTGTATATAAAAATCCAGTCCTGGCCAGGTTCAGTGGCTCTCGCCTGTAATCCTAGCACTCTGGGAGGCTGAGGCAGGAGGATCGCTTGAGCTCAGGAGTTCAAGACCGGCCTGGGCAAGAGTGAGACTCCATCCCTATTAAATATAGAAAAAAATTAGCTGGGCATGGTGGCATGTGCTTGTAGTCCCAGCTGCTCGGGAGGCTGAAGCAGGAGGATTGGTTGAGCCCAGGAGTTTGAGGTTGCTGTGAGCTAGGCTGACGCCACGGCACTCTAGACTGGGCGACGGAGCAAGACTGTCACAAAAAAAAGAAAGAAAGCAAGAAATCCAGTCGTGCCTTGGAGAGGAGAGGTTTTGTGAGTCTGATTCTATGTGTCTAATATATGCTCAGAAAGTAAATTGGTTCTACCATTTCTCTAAATGACAAATTTGGTTTTTCTTCCTTTCTTATCGACAAACTTTAAAATCCAAATGCTCCTCTTTAAAATATCCCGTTTCTGCTAATGCCACCCCTTGCACACTGATCCCTATTGAGAAAACCTGGGAATATGACCAGATTATAAATCAGAAACTGGTAATCTTGGCTTTTATTACCTTGCACCAAAGTATCATTTATCCTTGGAGACAGCTGACTGATTTCTTACACATTGGGCAGAGACTGAACGTGGCAAGACTGACTTCTGACTCTGAGATCATAGCACTTAGTGACTTGGAAGGCCAAAGAGCTACAGCTAGAGAATTGCTGTTTCCATTTGCAAAGAAAAGTGTAGAAATTTCAGGCAAAACCAACTGAGAACAGATTTTGTTGAAGTAGGTAAGAACTTGGAACAACAAAGGCATCGCTGAGTTATACGCAAAGATCACCTCTATACATCTGCCTCTCAACCTTGGCCTCCCTTTCTTACAGTTTTGCAACAAAGGAAGTTATGCAAAGAACCCAAAACATTTGGCAAAGGATGTCAGAGTTGAATGAATTAGAACTCTCTTGGCCTTAAAAAAAACTTTTAGGTTCACATGCCCGGAACTGGGTTCTTCCGTGTCTAACCACTGCAACGATGGCCATGTCTGCTGTCCCCAGCAGCCCGGCAGTGAGTGAGTGGAAGGCTCTCAAATCAAGATGGGATTTGACACCCGGGGGTTTTATAGACCAGGGGCCCAGGACCCAGAATGCCTGAATCCTGCCTTGCCAGTCACCGCCTCCCCTCATTCCCCAGAGAGCTCTGCACACAAGGAACAAAAACAGTGAGAATCAAGGTCTGGGAGAAGCCCTCTTATTATCCCAGGAAATCGACCTGGGATTGGCCAATTAATGGAAAACATCATTTAAAAGGGGTAATCCTAAAAAAACTACATATTCCCGCCTACCTTAATCATTTTATTTTTATTTAAAACACATACATGTACACTTAATAAAAATTACTTTTAATTACACCTTTAAAAATACTAATTTTAAGTTGAAGAAAAAATAATGATATTTAAAAATCTGTCTTGCACAAACCATACCCATGAAGTGTCATCTATGATTTTTAATTTTGGTTCCTTTAAATTGGAGCAAGGATTTGAGGACTTCCGTAAAGCAGTGTAAGGGCAGATTCCTTGTCCATTTTAATGAAAAATTTCCCAATCTTTGACACTCGTTTCGTCCATGCCTGGTCCTACAGCAGTTTTGGTTAGCAAATTGCCTTAATTCTTTCCAAAGCTTTCAACTTAGTTTTTAATTTTTAAAAACTCAATTTCTTTTAGTGCTTATATCTTATTGGTTTTTGTTACATTGAAATTAATTACAATAACATGTACAAAGGGCATATATAGGTTTGGAACAACAACTTTGACTCTTTTGACAGTGTCTGTCGAATTTTAGCATGCATCAGAATCACCTGCAGGGCTTGTTAAAACACATATTCCTGGGCCCCCGCCCCACAGCATCTGACCAATAGGTCTGGGTTGGGCCTGAGAATTAGCATTACCGACAAGTTCTCAAGCAAGAGTTGATGCAGCTGGTTTACAGACCACGCTTTGAGAACCAGTGCTTTATAAGCATACAACTCAGTCAATGGAAGGAGCATGCAGGTGTTCTAGAGCACACGTGTTCCACCAAGGCTGCTTTATAAGCCTACACCCCAGGCAATGAGAGGCGTGCACAAGTGTTCTAAAACACAGGTGTTCCAAAACACAGGTGTTCCAGAGCATTTAGCATGCTCTGGGCATCGGTCTCACATTGTCAGAGGGAATGAAAGCATTGATTGATCGGGAATTAGTTAAGTGGAGGTCTGTTCAAAGAGCTTCTTCTGTACAGCTTTTTTGAAACACCAGAGCCAACTCTATTCTATAGCATTCTGGAAAAAGGAGAGTTTAGAGTATGTGACTTAGACTCAACGCTTAAGCAAAGCTTCCAACCTCTCTCCAGTCTAAATTACGGGGCCCGCATAATTGTGGGATATCCCTCTGAGGGACAGAGATGGCTGGGCTTAGATATTACACCCCATGGTGTAAGAGAGGGAGTTAAAGAGAGAGGTGGAGTCTGAGTTTCTGTCTTTTAGCTACAGTGACGTGACCACTCATCATTGTAGCAACGTCAGTGTCCTACAACTTGGAAGTCAGATTAACAGCTCCTCTCTTTGAGGGGGATACTGAGAAGAGGCCACAGGTAGGACTGGCTGCCTGATGGCAGACACCTACATCACGGGTTGGGAGATTTTCAAGATGGAGAGTCAGGCCCAGCATGAGGAGGTCGAAGGTGAGGATTGCTGGCTGCTAACGCAGGCCCATGTGCGCCATGGCACAGCCAACTCTGGCGACCCACAGACTGGAGTATGTACCGGGGCTTAGGACTCCTTGATCTCAATGTTCCCAGTGTCACCATAAATTTGTTTAATGACCCATTGGTTCTTGAGAGATGAGAAATTAACTTTTATAAGGATTTGGTACTAGCTCCATATTTATGTTATGACAACTCCAGCAACTGATGGCTAATGTCCTATGACATTCAGACCCTGAAACAACATGAATGCCTTGTCCCCACCATAATGACTAGAGAATTAAGCCCATAAATATTAGGTGCTATTAAAACCCTGTAGGGAGGTGAAGTTACAAACACAATATTTGGACTGAAATTTAATGAAGCTTGGGAGCAAAACATAGGCTGGGAGCGGTGGCTCACGCCTGTAATCCTAGCACTCTGGGAGGCCGAGGCAGGAGGATTGCTTGAGCTTAGGAGTTCGAGACCAGCCTGAGCAAGAGTGAGACCCCATCTCTACTATAAATATAGAAAGAAATTAGCCAAACAACTAAAAATAGAAAAAATTAGCCAGGCACGGTGGCGCATGCCTAAAGTCCCAGCTACCCAGGAGGCTGAGGCAGGAGGATCGCTTGAGCCCAGGAGTTTGAGGTTGCTGTGAGCTAAGCTGATGCCAGGGCACTCACTCTAGCCCCGGCAAGAAAAGTGAGACTCTGTCTCAAAAAAAAAAAAAAAAAAGAAGAAACATAACACAGGTTATTACCTTTTAAGAATCTTTAGCTTTTCCCTTTGCTTCGTTTTAGTACTATGCTAAATATATCATTATCTTCTCCATGCATGGTTTTACTTTTTAAAAATTGTACATGTATATTAATTTTGTAGATTCCATTTCCTTGTTATTATTTACACAATTTTGATATTAATATATCCTAGAACGTTGTAGAGGGAAACATTTTTAAAGAAAAAAATCATCCATAATCCTACTACCTTAACACAACAAGCGTTTTTGTTTCTAATTTCCAGGCTTTGCCCTAGAGCTATATTTTCCCTGGATATAATCACTGTGAATGTACAATTTCAAGACCTACTTTTTTTCACCAAATTTTGTCTTCCTATTTACAATCACGTCATCATAATGATAATGTTAATGACTGCCCAATGCCCGACTGGAGATCCTGGTCTCCTCCCATAAAACCTGCTCCTCTTGTGCCTTTCCCATCTCGGCTAGTGGCAGCTCCTTTCTTTCAGTTGCTTACACCAAAATCCCTGGAGTCAGCCTTAATTCTTCCCTTTTTCTCTTGCCTCACAACTAATCCAACAAGAATCTATCAGCCCCACCTGGGGCATATACCCTGTGTATTAGTTTGCTAGGGCTGCCATAACAAAGTGCCACACGCTAGGTGACTTAAAAAAACAGAAATTTATTTCTCATAGTTCTGGCAGCTAGAAGTCCAAAATGAAGGCACTGGCAGGGCCGTGCTGCCCATGAAACCGGTGGGGAGAATCCTTCCTCGCCCCTTCTTGATTTCTGGCGGTGGCCGTGGAACCTTGGCGTTCCTCCGCTGGTGGCTGCGTCACTCCAGTCTCTGCGTCTGTCTTCACCCGGCTTTCTCCCCGGGTGGCTGTCTTCACATGGCCCTCTCCTCTTGTAAGGACACCATCGTAGTGGACTAGAGCCCACCCTAATGATTGCATCTTAACTTTATTACTTCTGCAAAGACCCTATGTCCAAATAAGGCCACACTCGTAGGTTGCAGGGGTTAGCACTCCAGCATATCTTTTGGGGGGACACAACTCAAGCCATAGCTCCCAGAACACCTCTTCTCCACACCCCCATCCTGGTTTAAGCCTCCATCCTTCCTTACTGGGATTCTTGGAGTGACCCCCTGACTGGTTTCCCACCGTCACATCTGCCCTCTATAGCCTATTCTTAACTCCTCGGCTCAGAACCCACCAATGACCCTCAGCTCGCTCAGAGTAAAAGCAAGGTCCTTGCAGTGGCCCATGGGTCCCTCCTGACTGCACCATTCCTGTGTCCCACCTCTGCCCCTGCTCCAGCCACCCTGGCCTCTTTGCTGATCCTCCAGCACACCAGGCATATCTGTCCCACCTCTTGGCCTTTGTACTTGTCGTTCCTTTTGCCAGGATGCCGTCTCCTGGATGCCCCCACAGCTCGTACTTCGTTCGACACTCTGCCCAACCGCCACCTTCTTGGAGAGGCTGTCCTGACCACCTTGTGACATCCCGCTCTGCCTCTCCCACTCCTCCCCCACAGCCCTATTCCTGTTCCTTGTTCGATTTTTCTCCAGAGCACTCTTTATCTTCTAATAGAATATGCTATTTACTTACATATTTTATTTTTTGTCTGTTCCCTACTCTCACCATCACCACTCAAATATAAGCTCCTTGAAGACTGGAAGTTTTGTCTGTTTTGTTGTTTGCTCTATCCCTGGTACCTAAAACAGGGCCTAGACCATAAAAGGTACTCAGTAAGTATTTGTGGAATTAATGAGAAATCAGCCAGTGCGTTTTCTCATAAGTTACTAATCCATTTATCCTTATTAAATGTTTATCTTATTTTCCAGACTTTTAAAAAATCTTATTAAATAATGCTATTAATAGCTTATTGCATATCATTAATTTCACCCTTTTTTCAGTCATTTCTTTGGGCCACATTTCCAGGGTGAACATTGTCAAATTGCCTTCCATAATGCCACCATTAATATTAATAGCTCTGTGTCCATGCTGCCTTGCCACCATTGGGTTTTATCTCATCTTTATTTCTGCCAGTTTTATAGGTATGTGCCCTGTGATTATTTTGATTTGCATTTCTTTAACTTTTAAATACAATTGTTCATAAGCTCTTTATCTTCTGATACAAATTGCCTGATATAGACTCTTAATTTTTTTTTTTTGGCAGGAATAGGAGAAGGAGGTCTTGAATTCATATTTATTTATCCATATTCTCTTTGGATCAACAATATTAATGCTTAATCACATTTGTTATAAGTATGCTTCCATCCTACCATTCCTTTTACCTCTGTTTGCATTTCTGATTAAACTTTGAATGTGTTTTATTTGCTACAGCTGTGGACTACTGTGCCGCGGAAAACCACGGGTGTGAACATGAGTGTGTAAACGCTGATGGCTCCTACTCTTGCCGGTGCCGTGAAGGATTTGCTCTTAACACAGATGAAAAAACATGCTCAAGTAAGTTACACACACACACACAGAGAAGCATTTGATATGACTGCTACTGGGACTCGAGCCTGGGAAATCTCCCAAGCATGGATTAGCATATGATTATGTCGTGGGGGGTCTGAAACCTCCTGCCCCATCGCTCCTCTGTCAGACCTTTCTTCACTCGTCTTAAAACCGTAGCCCACTCTAGTTCAACATCACCACTCAAGGAGTCTGTTGAAGGTGCCTTTTATCGGCCACCACACGTGGGGGTGTTCTTCCAGCCTCCGCTGAGCCTGCTGGTAACCAGACCACCTTGCTTCCTGCAGACTCAGCCTGCCTGTGGCCCTGGGTATTAACAGGGCTTGAGGAATGTTTTCACTGAAGCTTTGTGGCTTGTGAGCTTCAGCTCTGACTCCACACAAGTACCAGAAAATCGCTGAGCCAGAAAGAATTGAATGTGGTTTCTTCTGTGTTGGGGAGGATAGGTGGATGGCAGTTTGCGGAGAACTGCTCATGTTTTGTTTGAGCTATTTGGCTCTATTCAATTTTAACTATAATAAAAATCAGAAGTAATTTTAGCTCCCCAAATCTGAACATAAAACTCTATAAACTAAAGGTGATCACTAGTTTTGCAAAAGAATTCCAAAAGTGTTCTTTTAAATATGAAGGTCTACCGAAGCCCTTAAGGGATTGTGTGTGGATTATTATCCTCCTATAGGGAGGGTCACATGAGAAAAGCTTGTTTTCAAAGTATTAGGGCCCAGCATTTTTAAAAAGTGAATTTTAATAGCAATTTAGAATAAGAAAGCATCGCTGAAACATACTTCAATGAGAAAATAGGATTTTAATTCATCAAAAGTACAAGTACCTACAACCTTTCCAAAAATGCATCCATTATGTAAAGCAGTGCACACCTGCACAAAACCTTCTTCAACATAAATTTAACTCCTCCTCTTCAATCCCTAAATATTAGCAGCTTATAAACACCAGAGCTGGAGACAGCAGTGCGTATGGAACTGTAAGGGCCACATTAAGTTAAAAACACCCATTTCTGGAGCCCTAACCACGTGCCAATAAAAACGAATATGGCAGGGTCCTTCCCGGAGGAGATGATACCGTGGCAGAGTCTTGAAGGTGGAGCCGTCATTCACCAGGCAAAGAAGGGTGAGACGAGGGTTCCAGGAGAAGGAAAGACGTGCAAAGATATGAACCAGACAGGGTGTTTTAGATCTCCATGCCCAGCGTGTGACTGGCATGCAGTTGTTTGTTTGTTTTGTTTATTGAGAGTGAGTGAATGAATGAGTAGACTGCTGTTCCTCTCCCTTCCCTTCTGAATATTACGAACTAGGAAACAGCAGCCTGGGCTGTGGTCATGGCGGGTGCAGGGATGGGTTGTGGTTGCTGGGCGGGTGAGTCAGTATTCCCCTCAAAGGGGAGGCCCCATGCTCCTGGGGGCTAGCCTGGGTTCAAATCCTGGCCCCACTGCTTTTTCTCTGGGTAATCTTTGGCAAGTTATTTATGCCTCAGTTTCCTCACCTGTAATAGGGGGTGATGATACTGCCAACTTCACAGCATTGTCTTGAAGACTAAATGAGATAATTCATATAAACCATTTAGCAGATTGCCAGGTGCTAAGTTCTTGTAAAGGACGATACTAGCTTCAAAGGCTGTAAAGTAGTATTTATTGATCATATACCACAAGCCTGGGTTAAGTTCAAAGGTGCATGAACAATTCAAGAGTTCCACTGGGAGTTGGTGGGGGACATAAGCCATGGCCACACAGAGCATCTCAGTCACGACGCCAGGCGTTATATGACCGGGGCCACGGTGTGATGCCAACAAGACCCCTGGCAGGAGCTTAGGGAAGGAGACTGGTTAGATCAGAACAGGTGGAGATGCCGCCAGGCTCCTTCCTGCCTCTGCAGAACGCCTTCCCTGGCTGGGGTCCCCTGATTTCCACCCCACCCAGCCCCAGTTCCCAGAGCAGCACTATCTTCCCACACTGTGGCTCAGCCTGTCTTCCATCCCAGAGCCAAGGTCCAGGTTGGTGCAGGCGAGGAGGAGGTCTCAGCCCCGGGATCAGACCGTGCAAGTAGATACTGCAGCGTAGGGGGCCTGGGAGAGGAGGTTTGGCTAGGAGCCAGGGGAGGGACTGATCCAGCTGGGAGGTCTCACCGACTAGGCACGGAGCCCAGCGGTTCAGCTGTCTCTGGGCCCTGTCAGAGTAAGACCGAGGAGTGGGCCGCCCCAACGCGTGGGCAGGGAAGAGTGCTGGGAAATCTGAGGGTTGTGGGCAGGCAGCAGCACCAGGGCGATAAGTTCCCCAGAACAGCCCGCTTCGTACCATGCCGGGGGGCGGGCAGGAGCAGGAAGAGACACTCGGAGAGAAAGGAGACACTCGGAGAACTTGGAGAGCTGTGAGAGTAGGAAATAAGGCAAAAGCCCAGTTGTGAGGACCAAGACACCCTGGAGTGCTCCGGATCTGTGGCAGGGACAAGAACTGAGAAATAGAGACCAGCTAAAAGGAGCAGGAACACAGGATGGAGGCAGAAGCTCAGAAACAAGGTGGCCACCCTGTCAGGAAGTACCAGACCATCCCATCAGCCTCCAGCCAAGTCAGCCTGGCCGCTGCTGTGATGTTGAAAGATTTTAAAAAATGTTTTCCTGCCAGATGCAGTGGCTCATGGCTGTAATCCCAGCACTGTGGGAGCCCAAGGCGGAAGGATTGCTTGAAGCCAGGAGTTCGAATCCAGCCTGGGCAACGTAGTGAGACCCTGCCTCTATAAAAATTTTAAAAATTAGCCACCATATAACAAAAACATTTGTACCCCCTTAATGTTTTGAAACTTAAAAAAAAGCCATTAAAATGTACACAAGCTACCCACTATGTTTTTTAAAAAATCAGTGTTTAAATACTTACATAATAAAGCATCAGTAGCAACAACAATAAAAATTAGCTGGGTGTGGTGGCATGTGCCTGTAGTCCCAGCTACTCAGAAGGCTGAGGCAGGAGGATCGCTTGAGCCCAGGAGTTGGAGGTTGCTGTGAGGTATGAGATATGAAGTATGAGGTCAAACTGAAACCTTTACTCTTGAGCCAAGCCTGAGAAAAAATACTGTCAGATATCCAGGTCCTTTTCACCAGAAAGACATATGGAGGACTTCAGTGTACTAGGTAGGGATTCGTGTCTTTGGTATCAAGGAGACTGTAGGGTTCGTATCAAGGAGACTGTAGGGTTCAAGTCCAGTGCTTAATCATCTAATGCCTGTAATGATGAAAAAAGGCAATTGTGGACACCATATTTTACATGTTGCTGTTTATTATTTTCTGACTTTGAGATCATTATGCTCATTGTTTCTCAGACTCCATTGATAACTTGGTTGACATTTCCATCCTCATTTTTCAAATAAGAATGCTTTGCACAGAGTAAAGCACCAAATGAATATTTGCTGCTTGCATTAAAAGCGAAATACAGAAGGAAATAATTTTATACTGAATCAGCAACAGAAGAACTAGAAAGTATCAGTTGTTTGGCTTCCTGGCAGGAAATAGTTACCTGCTACCTTCCTACGGCCTGTAATATGCCACTTTTGTGAGGCCCTGTGTGCATGAATCAAAGACTCTTGGTTGGAAGAGGCCTTAAAGTTCAATCTAGTTCTTGCCCAACTACCCATCCTACGCTGTCCCCACTGTCCCATTATCCAGCTTTGAACACCGCCGACAGGACACTCACTATAGCCCATGGCAGTTCATTTCATTTTTGTACAGCTCCGATTCTTAGAAAGTGATTTCCCAGACTGAGCTGGTATCTACTTTGCCCTTAAAGACCAACAGAACAAATTGAGCTTCTCGCATTCTTTGTGGTCACTAAGAATGAGTCATATCGGAATAACTATTTCCTTTAGTAGACTAACCAGGCATGGAAAATGTGGTAGCAACTATCTAGACTTTAATAGGCATTTGACCAATTTGCAAAAGAGAGCCCCATGCCTTGTGGACTAAACGGAGAAGTGTGTGCTGAATGAAAGAATGATTGGTTGGGCTTGTAACTGCCTGAATGTCTGTACTCAGAGAATGCTGATTGCTGAACTGAGACTCTCCTAGAAGGCGGTTTTTACACAGCCTGGTGGGAAGAAGCCTTAAGGAGGGCATGAGAGCTGTCTTCCATTCTTAGTGACCCCGTGTTGGTTCTTAGTGCACAATGTTTACACATCTGAACCCTCACAAACACTCCAGTAAGAGTAATACCGATAACCATTTATTCATTCAACAAATATTTGCTGAACATCTACCATATGCCAGATATGGTTGTGGACACTGGGCTTACAGCAATAAATGAAACAGACAAAAAAAAATAAAAATCTAGGCCGGGCACGGTGGCTCACGCCTGTAATCCTAGCACTCTGGGAGGCCGAGGCGGGTGGATCGCTCAAGGTCAGGAGTTCGAGACCAGCCTGAGCA